ATACACCATGATCTCATAATAATCACTTACTTTAAGGTACAATCTATTCTATGATTACATTTTCTTTTGATTAATGAACATTCAGATTATATCAAAAGGAACATAGGGACATCAAAACATTTTCTTGATCCTTTTCATATCCTGCTTCCTTGTACCCCCTAACTGCCCCGATTACATCCATCTTCTGTAAGTGATTTTGTTTCACTCTAATCCTCCCTGAAATGTCAAGTTAACCTTTAAACAAAGTTCTACACCTTAACTTCTAACTCTACCAACATCTATTACTTTCTATAGATTCATTAATCACAATTCGTAATCAAAACAAGATTTTTTACCGTAACTGTCGTACATATCAGTTACCTATAATTGATTTAACAATATAAAAACAAGAACATCAAAGTACCTAAAACTTTTGTGGTTAAGAATAAACATAACAATTACCTTATATCTCTTTAGCTAAAACATCTAGTTAAATTTCTACTTATATTCTTACGTGCTCCTGCAGCTCTTGATTGTTTCTAGCTACCTTCCAGGTCTTAGTGTCCCTGACCAAAACTACACAGGATGTTGATTGTAATTTTAAACTTGAATTAGCAAAGCTTTAGATGGTGTGGTTTCTTCTAATGGTGAAACTCATTGTTAATGTAAAAGGCAACTATTATAACCTAACATGATTAAGCATAGTGTGAGGGTGTCTAAACGTAATTTTCATTTTTAATATGATTATAAAAAATTATCAAATGATTATTAAAAAATTATCAAAGAACTCTTATACTAAAATTAAAAAATGAGCCATGTATAAAAGGAAATAAGAACTGCAGGGCCTTTGCATGATGTTCTCCTCGGGGCTTTGGCATCCAGAGGAAACACTCATTGTCGTGTGGCTAAAACAATGAGCTTTTCATGCTCAGGGTTCCCCGCTGGTCCGCTCCTTGATGGCATGGCCTCCGCCACTTTACAACTTCAATCTTTTCTCTATTTATCCTGATGTTGCTTACTGGTTCAGTTGTGAGGATGTTGGTTTTCTTTATGCTGGGGTGTCATCCGTATTAAAGACAACTATCTCTGCGTCATGAGGACAGAGTCTGGGATATGAAAGCTGATTAGTGTTTCCTCCAAGTGACAGGGAGACAGAAACATTTCTATGAATGCTCAGGAGACACTGAGGTTATATTCACAGCGGAAGACTGATTTGGAAACCAGGGTGAGAATGGTTGTCCAAGTTAAAGAACATCTTCAATGTCCCTGAATTGTGAATGTAAACATTGTTGAGAAGGCATAGGTGTTGTTAAGTATATTTCCATTTCAGTACACTAAACAACAACAACTCAATGGATCACGGCACGTTACGGTCTGATCTAGAGCTGGACCACGGACCACCTACGATTGGAAAATGCTCAAAAGAAACGATGGTCTCAAGAAGGCAGATGATCCGTGAGCGGACAGAGCTGACTTCTTTTGTACGTGGGGTCTCCATGAATCAAAGTAGACTTACCGGCACCTAAGAACACCACCAGCTCTGAGAGAGGCACTGAAAAAGCTGGTAAACTGGGATGTTTTGGCAGGGGAAGGCAATCGATGGTGTGAAGAGACAATGTGGCTGATGCTCTCAGAGACACCTGGAGAAGTCTCAAGTGCAGTGAGCTCACAACGGGGAGTCAGACAGAGGATTCCTGGAGGTCCCAGACCTGCGCCAGCATGCCCCTGAACTTTTCACTTACTTTGAAATCATGCTGCTGTGGGTTGACTGGGAAAGTCTGAGTCTGCTGCAGATGATGTAAAGAAGGAGGCAGAATCCCACTTCTCTGTTCACAAGCTTCCTGTGAGAACTGCTAAAGAGTGAGGGTCCTCCCAGAGAGGAATTCATAAACTTGGGGCTTGATTGGGATTAAACCTTGGGGTACAGTAAGAACCAGTAGGAAGTGTATACTTAAGTGTATATAAGATACAAAACCAGTTCTCAAAGACAACTCAATTGATGGGGACCTCATGTGTGTCATAGTATGACTATGCTTCATGGGTTCTCAGTGGATGGTTTCTCATAAGCAGATCCCACTCATGGTGCCCCATGTGTGTCAGAGTAGAACTGTGCTCACCAGGTTCTCAGTGGTGGATTTTTTCATAAGTAGGTCCCACCTATCATGCCTTTTTTGGTGTCAGAGTAGAACTGTGTGAGGGCTGAATAAATGCTTTATCACTCTCCTGACATTCGTAGGGCCTCTCTACATTATGGAATCACTTGTGTGTATGGTATTGTGAGGCAAATCTGAAGGGTTTCCCTCCACTGTGTACTCTTTATGTGAAAGGAGGGTTAAGCGATGATTTAACATTTCCCCACATGATGAGGCTTTCTGCTCCCATAAAGATTTCCAGCCTCGGAAACCCTGTACAGGATTCCTATAAGTCGGAACCGACTCCACAGTACATAACCACCACCACCATCACATTCCTTACTTTCATAGGGTCTTTCTCCACTGTGGATATTTCTATGTGATCTGAAACTTGAAATATGGGTAAACCATTCCCCTAATTCCTTATACTCTTAGGGTCTCACCACTGTGGATTCTTCTATGTACAGTAAGGGCTGAGGCTCTTGTAACGGCTTCCCCACACTGCTTACATTCTTAAGGTCTCTCTCCACTATGAATTTGCTTATGTATACTGAGGGAAGAGGAACAAGTAAAGGTTTTTCCACATTCTTTCCACTCATAAGGCCTCTCTCCACTGTGGATTCTTCTATGTTGTATGAGACTTGAGGACTGAAAAAAGGCTTTCCCACACTCCTTACATTCATAGGGCCTTTCTCCACTGTGGATTCTTCTATGTGTTCTAAGGTGTGCAGTTGCTCTAAAGGCTTTCCCACACTGTTTACATTCATAGGGCCTCTCCGCACTGTGGATTTTTCTATGTCTTCTAAGGTGT